AACTGAACCAATTGTTGGTTGAAATGTTGCAAAGGAAATGAGTCAGATCAACGTAGGCCGGTAAGGCAATCACTGATTGGCATGTCCTTAAGCCAATCAGGAAACGTCACAGATCTACTGAAGGATGTGTAGATTGTATAGGAATTATTTTTGGCGGCAAAGGACAGGTTTATGTGTTTTAATAAAGGTGGCTTCCAAAATATAGAGATGAAAGGTTGACTGACCATTTGCAACAATTTCAAACCTGCTATCCGTGTAGTTGTCAGCACAAGTCAGGTTCACTAGTAACTGCTGGCCAATCGCTGATTCACATTTTGGTGGTAGAACTTTTGTTTTACAGGAGCGACATGGTAAATTGTTTTCTTTCACACTCTTAGTTATTATGGATGTGGGTACATGTTGTTTAATTCTGTCCTGCAGTCTTTGTGAAGTGCGACCTACGTACCGACATTCGCAGTAGCACGAGAATTCATAAATAACCATACTTTTCTGTGTGGTAGGTGTCGCATCTTTGTGTGTTGCAAGCAACAGCTTACGTGTGGAATAAGCACAGTAGGGGTTCACTGCAGGAAAACATTTAGTAATTCAATTGTTTTTCAAATTTTGTTGAAATGTTACCAATCCATGGTAGTTTACGTAAACAGGACATTTGTTGGGACCAAATTTTGGGGCAGTTGAGAAGTTCGCAATTTTCCTTGAAGTAATTTGATTGATGACGATTTCTGGATACCCATTGTCTAGTAAAATAGTTTAATTGTCTTCAATTCGTCTGAATTTGTCTGTTACTGATTTCATACTAGGTTGTATAAAAACAACATTTCAGATGTTAGAAAAACACATGGGTTCAAGAAATAATTTAACACAAAAATACGACACCCTATAACTCGAGCGCTTTCGAAAGGTGTACGTTTTTTCTTCAGTGGCACACTAAGAAACATTAATTCAGATACATATCTTTTGCCCTCACAAGTAAACTCCCAAATAGGTCCTTTCTTTCAATACCAGAATAACTATGTTGGTAGTGTATATAGTTATGTTTATGTGTCCAGTTGCAATAATAATTTCGGCACTTTACCTAAATTGAATGTATTCTTGAAGAAGTGAAAATTGTGCTCGACTTGATATCAACAGTATATAAGACGAGGTTGTGAAATATAAAAAAACAGTATTTACAGCTTTAAACTTAAGAGCAATCAGTCAGTTATGTTTGTAAGAATAATAAAATAAGCTAAAAGTACCGAAATCATCTTCTTACGTTTTAATGATAAACGATTAAGTGTGTTTATATCACGACTGTACTTGAAAATCGAACTACAAGTGTTTTTGTTGTTGTTGTTTTTTGTTACAAACTGGTAAAAAAAAGTTGTTTAGCAATTTTGCTTGAATTTTCTACTTTCTAAGTGAATCATAAAAGAGCAACATTTTCTGAATCTAAATTGCTTGTAGCAATGTGTTTTATCATCAGATTTTCTGTCAGTAACAGTTTCCTTCAAAAACCAAAATGTCCAAACCTTTGTTTTAGACACGGTTTCCATGTATGCCCTTAAATTGAATTATTTACGATAAATCAATTTTGGTGCACAATTTCATCTTGTCACTAACAAGTTCGATTATTTTCTAACTGTTCGTAGAGCTATTCGGTCGCCCATAACAACAATGCCTCTTTACATATCGTCCTCGAGATGTTGAGTGATCTGGTATTTGGTTCTCTTTATTTGTAAATAATCTCAACAAAAAAACAATGTCTATTTGAAGGACAATTCAATGCAAATAAAAGGGTGATTTGTACAAAAAAGTCTTTAAATTTTAAACTTAAATCGATATATATTTGTTCGTATAAATAAGTAAAAAAAAGACTCGTGATTTTTAAATGCTAAGTGAAATATATTTGAACTTCAGAAATTGAGCATTTGCCATTTTGAAACGCATTATCGCTCTATTTTTTATATATTTCTGTTTAGCAACAATAGCACCAGTGGCCATTGGAGGCTACCTGCGACCTGACAAGCCTTGGGAGGAATTGAATATTATTATTCCCATCGTTGCAGCTGCTATTGCTTTAACCGTTGTCTTGGGCGTGGCTATTTGTGTTTGTGTCAAAAGAAGACAATCAGGTTGGTTCTAGTTTTCCTTATCTTCTCTTGTTCCTTGAAGGTTTCTTCCTTTTTCTGAAGTTTTCTCCTCAATATTTTGAAGCGTTCTTGTTAAAATCTCAAACTCTATAAAAGTCTTCTTTCTGAATATACCCTAACACACACATACAAAATAACTTCTATCCAAAGCATAAAAGTGTAAGCGTTTTAAATATTCATAAATTGTGATTTCCATTAAACTTAAACCTATCAGTAGAAATGTAATGTCTCTATACCAAATATTAATAATAGGACAGAAATAGTGGTTTTTATTTTTACTTTTTATTTGAAAATTGTTTTGGGCGAAATAAGATCAATTATTTCTTGATACTCCAAAATCTTACTTTTAACGAAAAGTATGCAGACCAATAGCGACTTGATCATGTAATTTGTATTCGACTGGAAAGATATCTAGCTTTGTTAGTTACTGTTTAATCTTAAGTTTCCAGTTGGTTATTTTTCAAGAAACAACAGTTTTTTTCACCTTGAAATATTTGTTGAGGAGAATGTTTTATATTGTTAGACCTGAGTACTTTCAAATATGAGGTAGGTTGCTAATGTTTGTTTGTTATTAAGCACAAAGCTACACAAAGGGCTATCTGTGCTCTGCCCATTACGGGTATCGAAACCCGATTTCTTGCGGTATAAGTCCGCAGTCATACTGCTGTGCCACTGGGGGGCTTTTGAGGTAGGAGGTACAATCTTAAAACCTTGGCCGGGCAAGGCAGAATGGATAGCATCGAGGCTCGAATCTTGGTCCTTCAGATATACAACCAAGTAATTTCAGCTCTAAGTGCGCTGTAAAAGCATCAGTCGATCCCGTTACTCGTTTAAGAGTAGTTGTGTAGGTTGTAAAACTCTGGTGACGGCGGGTTCTCCTGACTGACTGCCCTTGATCTGATCAGTAGCTCAAATTAAAAACTATAATTGAAGTGTCTCTAGCCTAGCCTTTTAGCTCACTTGTGCTTAAGGTGCCGTTCAGCTTAAAAAGGTAACTACCACTACCTTAAAACGTACTATTAATAACATGGCAGTGTGGTTTTTAAATGAAACACGTGTAACAATTCATACGTAAAGATTAGAGGGAAACTCGGAAAAAAATAGAATTTAAATAAAGTCCAAATTGATGCTTTCTTTTTTTCTCTCGAATAACAGTAGAACGTCTCACTTTTTTATTAATGGTGAAATATTTTACAAATCAATAAAATATTTAGTGTGAGAAATAAATGTGAAAACAAAACTTCGACCACACGGTAAGCAGAGCCATGGGTTTTTTTTTTCAGATTGTTTTTTTTTACATTGCCATAGAAAGAGTTAATGCTGCATAGCAAAAAGTTGGTGTTGTGAGTATGATCATGCACTATTTTACTGTACTCTGGATGAGCACTTTAATATTCAAAGTGCCTGTATATATTAGTTTTGTTTTTTATCCGAACTGTGCAATAATTTGTATACAACAATAAATACGTGTCGAGTAAGTAATTAAGATATCCCATATACTTAAAAAAAATTATAAACAGCTAAAATGGTATATAAAAAAATACCACACAGTGAAATTATGTTGTGCCACCATTAATGTGATGTTGCAAAGTTAGCGGTGGCGAAACGTAGCTATATATATATAAAACTTTTCTGAGGGTGGCTGTCTCGGAAACTGTAGCATGAGTTTAGTGTAAAGTATATATATATAAAAAAACAACGAGACAAAAATGAAAGGATGAAAACATGACCTGTAGTTATATTTATACAAAAATATTTTTGATTAAGTTTCTAACGTACATTTCACTCTCAACTCTAAAAAATAAATAAAATTAATTAAAATTGAGTTTGTTTTTCAATCCATAGACGAAATGTATGAGAGAAATAGACTAAATTCTCGAGCTCCAGTCATGATGCTTCGCGGCAGTCAGAAAAAAGTTCAGGACCAAGTCCAGTACCAGGAGGTTGCCACTTATCAGCGAGCGCCGAAAATTCAGAGATCAGCTCGTAATGAACCAGCATTAGAACGTGATCAAGTTTTGCCTCTACCAGACGATCATGACCATTCTACCGGTAGGTAATTCTAATTTACCAATGTTTCAGTAGAATGTAAAGTTAGATAGATAGAAAGGCACACTTTTCATGGAAAAAAAATTATATATGTGTGTGTGTAAAAGATAGATAGGTTACGTATGGCTAATCTCTCATAAATGAATATAAAACATGGCAGTGAATCGAAGTTGTTGAGAGTTTAATGGAAGTCTCTTTTCATACATATTAAGAGAATATTTTATACAACTACTCTGCTGTGCGGAATACATTCAGGATTAGAACTTAGATTTTCAGTAGACTATGTTTATAGCCAATGGTATTTGCAGTTTGAAGACTGTTTTACGTGACTTTGTAATTCGTAGATTTGTATCTCGGGTAATTTCATTAATTTTATTTGTACATAAAAAATAGGAAGTACTTTACTGTTAGTCAGAAACACAGGTACTTGATACTGTATTACAAAATACACGTACAATTAACTAACTGTACGTACTCTCTTGGCAAGAAATCTGGCATCATTGTAGGACTGTTTAAAACGATCTCAGTCTATATTTACCCGTAACGTGGCGCTTTATTACTCTCTAAGACGTCATCAGTTGGATATGTTATCAAGTGTTTAGATAAGAAGCAATGTGTTGTGGCGGGTAATGGTCAAGAAATTGGAACTCTAGTAACTTGGGACTGCACCAATCACAGGATTAGTGTAATAAGGACCTATGATTGTTTTATAAGTCAAGTATCGTTCTCTCTTCTCGTTATTTTCTCTAAGATGAAAATGTGGCATTTTTTCTTATCATTTTAATATACGATACGGTCTCAACTGAAAGTCATGATATTAATCTGATTTCTGTAACTGTTTCGAGTTTGCTTCACCCACTATTACAATATTTCTGGGATTTGCCTATATTCCTACTATTGTCTTTTGAAAAGAGTAAACTATAATACCAGTGGTAGCTGCTATGCAAGTTGAAGTAAGCTTAGCACTACAAAGTATTCAACCGAAAGAAATGAGGATGTAAACTGAAATAAAATAGGAAGAGTAGGGATAATTTAATGGTATTATAATGTCTGGTGGTAAGAAACAGCATGAACTAGGAGACGCCATATATCTCTGCATTTGTTCATTTTCTCAGGACATACCACGGAAACGATATCCATCTATACCATCTTATCCATTTTGTTATCTTTCCATCTTGATGCATGATAAATGCATTTGATCTTTTTGGTGTGTATTTGTTCAAAGACGTGATAATGTGCTTCAAATTGTTGAAGAATTGTGTTCGTTGTAAGACATTCAGTAGAATCGGATGTGTCACCACATCTGAAACCATTTACCTTTTAACATTTCCACAGTCCACCTTCTTTAATGTAAATGTTTGGTGCCTGTAAGTTGAAACAAGGTAGAGTATTGAAAGTCTTGAGCTTGGTCACTCTTCTGGTTTTATCATTTGTATTCAATCATATTGCATCTTTAATCTTTTGACAATTGTAACATCCTGCTGCTACAAAGAACTTGCCTTTATCAGATTTTTTGGGTGTCATTTCTATCTTTCCAGTGAATGGAAACTTAGTTTTCATAGTACAGGCACAAAGAAGCTCTTTAAGGGTTTCAGTGATCTCCATGCCTTACTGCCAGTATGGTTTACAAGTTAAACTGTCTTACTGCCACTAGTGTTTACAAGTTAAACTGCTTTACTGAGCATCTCCTTTCGAATATAAGTTTTGACCAATGATTCTGAACTCACTCTATACTGATCTTCAAAAAAGTTCGTTGCTATTCTGTGAAATTTCCTGCTGACCTTCAAAATATTTCAGTGTGATCCTGGGAACCTTCTACTGGCCTTCAGTAGTTTTCATTGTGATTCTGAAAAAACCTCCTTCTTATCTTAAGAAGAATTCATTTCATTGTGATACCTGGAAATATCTTGCTGAGCTTCAAAGGTCTTCATTGTGATTCTGGAAACATTTTGCTAACATTTAGAAGCATTCGGGTAACTTTATCATTAGCCTTCTTTGTGATTCTGGAAACCTTCTGCTGACCTTCATATGGCTTCATCGTTGTTCTGAGAAAATTTATACTGATCTTTAAGTAGTTTCATTGTAATCCTGAGACTCTACACATTCATATTTTGAGAAACCTTTCCCTGATCTTCATAAACTTCCATTATAATTCACCGAAATCTTCGACTGACGCACATTTAGAAAAGTTTACGTTACTTTGTAATGATCCCGCGTTTGTCCGATCAAAGAGATAAAAGTTGTTTTCCCATATCATTAAGAGAATTAACTCGAGATGTGTAGTCTGATGCATGAGAATATTGAATAATATATGTTTCTGAATCTAGTAAAGTTCATTAAATGAGCATGACTAAACCTGTGACAATAAGATAAATTAACAAAGTTACCTTACCAGGTTACGAAGACGATCTTGCACCGTACGCCACCTTCCGGCTACCGGGGTGTGATTCAGATACCGAGAGCTCTCAGGGTACAGTTCGAGAACTCCAAACATTTGGAAACCAATACCAACAATCTTTTGTTGATCCCCCGGCTCAGTACGACGTTCTCTTTCACGTTGGTTTGAAAAACGATATGTTGTATTATTTCTATTTTTTTTTCGAGAATAGTACTTTAGCTTTAACTACTTTCTAGTTATTCAAAAATAGTATTTTTCTTGTATTAGCTAATAAATTAATTTTTCTTAGTAAAACTACCTGTAGACATGATCAAATTCGTATAGCATAAAACAAGTACACTATTCCTAAGGCTGGTAAGGTTGTGAAATAGTAAATTTGGATTTATTTTTGTGTTTAATCTTTGTTTTAATTAATAATTTATTATCGGTAATTGCTCAACGAAAGTAAAATCATAACCAAATAAACTAGTGACGTCCTTTCATAATATGACGGTGATATTAGGGTTGAGGCTGTACTTACAATTTACAACCGATTTAAGATCATTTTTGTTTTACCTTATTACGTTTAAAGCTTCACGTGTTCAATTGGAGTGTGGGCTGGCTTTGTAGTAGAACTCTGGATTTCAAAACTGGCAAACAGAGTTCGAATCCATGCGATACCACAAAATATTTCCCAAACTTTAGGCTGTGGGTGCGTTATAAGAGAGACAGGCGGTCCTCTAGTGTAGATGCTGTTGACTGACTACCTTCCCTCTGATAAGTAGTTCAATTATTGACGGGAAACAGGTAGCTTTAGTATCTTTGTACTAAATTTATTATTGAAATACAAATGCCTAAAAGAATATTTTAATATTCATGAACAGAAAATCGAAAAAGATTGTAACAAAAACGTTTTACTTACGAGAAAACGTGAAGAATAAAAGAAACAAATGAAGTGTACATTTTGTCAGCAAGTAACTAAAATGTTTACATTTTCTAAACTTTTGGAGCAAATATACCTCCTTCAGATCTTTCAACCAAATATAATTTTGTAGCTTTAATAGAGTATATTTTGTCAGCAAGTAACTAAAATGTTTACATTTTC